AGAACTATGGATGAAGGGTGGTATACAAATTTAATAAAGTAAAATATTAATACTGCAATAAATAAATATGATGATTTAAAAAGGCAAACTTCTAGCAAATGCCAATAGCAAAAACATATAGCAAAACCATATATAGAGCATGACACCTAAATTAGATATTCAGATGTTTATTATGATCAACAGGCCAAAAAGACAAAATACAAAATTCCAGCCTCACTGAAGCAAACTGTTTAAAACCTGACAGTCTAAGAACAAGAAATATGACGCCATTCAGATATTTTGCCACCTGCTCTGTAATAAGATCAACTAGGAAGCTGTCATATAAAAGGATATACAATACATTCTCTAAGCTCCTGATAAAAACTACAGTAAAAGAACACATGAGACTGTTTTGGTCTTTGTGTGGTTACATGAACAGCCTCTATCTTTAAATGAAAGCTCTCTAGCAATTCTGCCATCTAAACTCTTTGAAGAATTAATATTAAAATGGTCCAATAAAATACTCTTCTGTACTGAGGCATTGGTATTGACACACCATTATTAGAAGCAGATGAAGCCAGGACCAATGACGTACAGTAGATGTTCCCCTAGCTAATAGATGTAGCTCTTGCCCGCCTATATATTTATTCTCTATTCAACTACTAATTCCAGTGAGAGCAGAAAACAGGAGAAAAACCAACAGCAGTTTTTTCCACTTAACTCGCTTTTCCAGAAAGACACAAAGCAGCACCTGACAGACCGGAGAGTTGGAAGAGGTAAAGGAGCAAATTTGAAGCCAATAATGAATTGAGTATGTCCATGTCAAGCTACTTAATGAGCTAAAACTGACTTCCAAATTAAAAGCAGCACCAACAACACATTTAGGTATAGTTCTAAGAAAGGAAGACTGAATTCCTTCCAAAGAAAAGTTGAGTCCTGGAAACAAGATTGAGGCTCCAAACAAAATCTGGGTCACAACTTTTTGCGGCCTACATACATATGGTTGCTGGAACAAATTTACTTCCTTTTGTGTAGAAAAATCCAATTAATGTTATTATTGTATGCTTTGCTTTGACCTTTGCTAATTTGTCCTGCACTTCCTAACTGGTAGATTCATGAAACAAGATCCCAAGATACTTATCCATACCCATGACTGAAGTTCACTTGGCCTTCCCTTTTGGAAAGACCATTAACTTTTGACTTCTCATAGTTAATATTTGTTTCAATAACAATCTGCAATAATTTGCAAGTCATCTAAGTCCCAAGTGGGTTTGCAAGGTTAAAACAGCATCATCTGCATATAATAAAATGTAAACAGCTGAATTATACATATTGGACCATAAATTTCACCTAAAACTCTTAAGAACAAGCATCCATTAAAAAAACAACCCCAAAAACAACAGCTATGAGATGAGAGCAAATCAGCTATGATACTACCATTAATTATAATAAAGAATAAACGGTGACCCAAATGTAAATAGCCATACCTATAAAGCCAGCTAGTTCATCAATCAATGAAAGAAATTGACACAACAAATCTATATGCGCAGTTTCACAGACAAAAGGGAGACCAAGAGGACTTCAAAAGTATCTCCATTCCCCTGCCCAGAAAACCCCAGCATCAAAATGTCACTTCAGCATACAAAGACATACCCCAAACATAATATCAACTGGTGGTTAGGCTCTTTCCCCTTCTAAAGGCACCAATTTTCTAGCCAGTGGAATGTAACAGGGAGATCTTAAGTCCTACTGTAAATCCTTAAAGAACTTTCTGGCACATCTAACACAAGGTATTTGCTACTGGACAATGAATTCTTCATTCTATCTGCAGCATCAATATTTTATTCAGTGCAATACAAAGAAGCATTTCACAGCAACAAAGTTTTAAATAAGGAAAAAAATGTTATATATCTTTTTGGTTGGTTGCTCTTTCAGTCAGTTTTATTTTGTTCACATAGTGCATGTTGTCTTCATACAGTGCAGATCGGCTTGGCAGCTCTTCCAAAGAGCTGGAAATGCTTGTTGAACAAGTGTAGCAAGGAGTTCCCCACCCACGTTTTCATTATGACTTGAAGAAGGATACACACTAAAATGAACAGTTCATTAATGTCTGCTCCTCCACTGCAACACAGCATAGGCTTTTAACTGTAAAACGCTTCTCTCATGTTTGCAATTATGGAAAAATCATGACATTTTCAAAACTTAAATTCATCTATCAAGGGATTTTGAAATTTTGTAAACTGAAATTAAATAAAACAGATTTCTTTGCAATTGCTACTCTTAAGAACAAATCGTTTACTTTAAAAACTGAGCTCTCAGGCTATAATCATTTAAAATGGTTTAGAAACTACCCAACAGACAAGCAGGTTCCAGCAATGTTCTATACAAGGGGATCTGCAAGAACATTTGGCAGTGTGCAGTGCTTCTGTTAAGGCCTCCAGCCAGCCAGCTATGCCCTTTTCCAGGATATTCTATATCCAATTCCTCTCCATCCTCCGTTCTGAATTACTCCTCCTCAAAAAGGCACTCTTCTGTGACCACTGAGCATGCTTAACTGGCAATTGGCTCCTTTTGGATTCCCCCCATATGTATGGATGATGCCACAAGGATCTACACTCCAGGAATGAACTCCCTATTAGGTTCTATTATTCTAATGCTGTTAGCTTTAGTAACAGAATATTAAAATATTAAAATATCCATACATCAATTTAAAAAAATACGAATACCCCCCCCTTGAAAAAGTGGAAAAAACTGATTAGTAGTCAATAGCTTGGTGTGACAAATGCACAAGTATATTCAAACTGCCGAGAAAGGTGGGGAGAATGTAACTAGAATCCCAAGATAAAAATTTCCTCATATTACGTATGACCTAGAGACATGGTGAGGGAAAGCAAAACCATGAGCCTTGGTCAATAATCTTGAGAAAGCCTCTAATTGTTGGCCTTCTACCCACTTATAAGATGGAAATGTCAACACACAGCTACTGTGCCTCTTTCTGCATCATTAGGATAATTAGGGTTATCTATGGCTGGGAGCCAAAGAGCCCTCGTGCGTATCTAAGGCACTTGCACACATGTACAGGGCAATCCTAACCATAAGAAATAAATTATATTGAATTCAATGGAGGTTACTCCCATTGGGATTAGGATTGCAGCCTAAATATTTGAGAAGAGAGTTTCCACTGTGCAAATTTCTCCCATCCAACCGGTGTGTCTAGTTCTCAGGCTGGCCTACACACAGGCCCTTTGTATTTCTTGCTCTGAGTCTGAAGGAAACAGTTTTTGGTTGTTGAATGGGGAGGGGGAAGGACTGTATTATTTTGTTTTAGTGTGTTGACTCATTGTTTGCAGTTTTTATTCTGAGTAGAGGTCTCAAAAGTTGGAAGTGGCCCAGGCCTCTCTACACCTCTGAGAGGACCTGTCCAGAAGTACTAATGAAAGAGGAGTCTATTATGCCAGACACTTTCCCTCCTCTGACTCAGAGAACTCCAACTCAGAAGTCTTAACAGAACCACAGACTCTCCCAATCTGTCACGGCAGGCTGGATGAGGCACCTTGTCTCACTTAAGGTGAAACTAGTAACTCAGATAGAGCTGCAGCTTCAATTAAGTCTGAAAATCTGCCATGCTCAGGCAACATTTAATCTCTACTGTTATGGAGTCTCTAGCCTGAGTTTTGCATTGAGTTATCCAGGGTGCCAATGAATCTTGAAACTCTTGCATTGCCATAACCCAGAGACTTTACCCTTCCTTGACTTCTTACTCTGGTGGCCTAAACCGGATTTTTTGCCTTGATTCAGAACCCCTGTACTCTCAAAGCTATTGCCTGGAACAGAACTGGCACCCTCACTTTCACTATGTCTGTCTGCAGAAACATACTACTTGTTAGTTGCAGATTGGATTAAAGTGAATCTAATTTAAAAGTATGTTAGCCACATTCTTTTCCACTATAGGATCATTCTACCTACAACAAATCTATGGGCAGCTTATCACTCTTCATGCACTACAGAAGTCATATTTATGACTGATACAACTTGAAACTACTCAGATTGACTGGAATTTTATAGATTTATTTATTTGCTAATTACATTTTATGAAAAACAATTTCAGGATTGTGCCCCATCCCACATCACCGGCAAGAAGCTGAGCCAAGTTCAATGTATACCTTTCTGAATCCTAGCAAATATGGCCAAGTTGGAAAAGCAGAGACGTTTCCCCAACAAATAGTTCACAAAACAAGGGAACACTGAACATAGGCTTGGAATATCCAGACGGAGTCTACTCTCCTCTTATGGAGGTTTGAGTTATATCTGCTGCTTTAGTTCTATGCAATGGAAAACAAATAACTTAAAGCAATTATAAATTTGGTATTGTGAGCCAAAAATTTGCAAGTATTCACTTACCAACACTGAATCAACCTTCTTCCCTAAACTATCTAAAATCAAAGTATAAGAAGAACAAGTCAACAGGGATGCAATTAGTCTTTAGTGATTTATTTTTTACAATTTACTGAGATTACAAATTTCCATATGAATGATAATAGCATCTTGTATGTAATTACAATGCAGAAAAGATTGCAAGTACCACCAAAAGATCAGCCAACAACTTCTAGCTAGCTTTCTTCAACAGAAGTGAAATGGGTACATGAAAGATTGCAATAATAAGATATGCAGAAACATATTTTTAAGAACTAGTATGCTACTCGTATAGTCAAATGAAAACCAGCTTCACTATTATATGACAAAATCTATAATAAAATCAATTGCATGCAAGAAACCCTACTCTAATCCCCTTTCCCCGCAACTTGAAACAAGGACACTGGTAGAATGAAATGTAAGGAACAAAAAGGAGAGTTCCTCCACTAGGTCTTGTTATCGCTGAATCAACATGCACACAGTATTAATATAGTTGTTTCCCACACTGAAGAAACCAAACATCCTCATACATTTAATGATTACTGATTAAACATTTCGAAGGTGCTAACACAATAAAAGCAGATGTGTTATGTAACAGATCCACTTACTTTTTTCTCTTTCTCATGGTGCTTATCCTGAGAGTGAGAGGAAGAATCACTTAAATTTTGATCATATGACCTATTAGATGCCCGTTTGCTCTTTTTCTAAAAAGAGAAAATATATATACATACATATATATATATATATTCATGAAATGAATATACGTAAAAGCCATCTACACCATGTCTGACAAGCACCTTATCAATCAAAACACAAATGCATAACTCCAGAGCTAACCAAAACACTCATAATCTACACAAACTGTTCTGAAGAGTATGAAAAGACAAGAATAAAAAGCCTGCTATCTTCACTGCCACTATTTGTAAAGGTACCTTTAAATAAAGTCAGTATCATAAGTTTAAAAGCATTATTTTGCTGAATTTGCATATATTAAGACATGCTTATGTGAAGCAAACTCTTTCTGGCTTAAATAAACAGCACCTATTAGTAGTTCCCAGCCTAAAGAATTAGCAACTTCTATTCATTTGCTCATTGAAGCTGACAGTTAAACAGCTAAAGAGCAGCTGCTTCAGAATCAACCCATTTCAGAATCAACAGTATTTCTAGGTAATCATACCTTTAAAAAAGTAACAATATTTAAAGAGCCAATCCAAGTACTAAAACATTTCCCAAGAAGCAGAATTTATATTAGACTTGTATTTTTTTTTATTATCTATGCAATATTTATTTGCATAGTGCTTAAAAATAACAAATAAATGCTTCAACAACTGTAGCCTCAATAATCCTCAATATAATTCTGGCACATTACAGTGGTGCCTTGCAAGACGAAATTAATCCGTTCCACGAGTCTCTTCGTCTTGCAGTTTTTTCGTCTTGTGAAGCACGGCTATTAGCGGCTTAGCGGCTTTAAGAAAAAGGAAACAAACTCGCAAGAACTCGCAAGACGTTTCGTCTTGCGAAGCAAGCCCATAGGGAAATTCATCTTGCGGAACGACTCAAAAAACAGAAAACCCTTTCGTCTAGCGAGTTTTTCGTCTTGCGAGGCATTCGTCTTGCGGGGCACCACTGTACTTACTTGTACTTTTATAGTGCTGAAGAAAGTAATGCACAATTCAATTTTTTTCATGCATTAAAAACCAGAAAATGCAAGTTTGAGTACACTGGAGAATTCTGCAACCATTCAATTAATGCTCTCTTTCTTACTTGGGTAACACATTTTTCCGTGGCCTTTCTGCCATGCATGAATTTTATTGTTTCAAGGTATCATGTCACTGACTGGAGAAAAGTGGGGATTTATAAAATACTGCAGAACAACAGGTGTTTAAATATATGAATTGAAAGTTCATGGGGAAAACTGTGTCTTTCCTTATTAGAAGCCCAACCACTTAAAAAGCCCCATCCTGTACTTTTTCATGCATCATTCCATAACAAGGAAAGCCACAGAAATTTGAAAAATTGTAATGATTCTACGGCAACTACTGATCTATACAGAGGTTATGAGAGCTACAAGTGCAAAGATGTCTGAGGCAGATAGTGCTGCTAAGAAATGAAGTTTTACACCTAATAGATCACTTGGTCTGGGTGGCATTCACTTGCGAGTTCTCAAAGAACTCAAATGTGAAATTGTTGATATTCTAACAAAAAAATATAACTTGTCCCTGAGAACTAGAAAGCAGCCAGTGTGCACCCATTTCTAAAAAGGGAACTGGGAGAATCCTGGAAATTACAGGCCAAATAGCTTAACGCTTATCCCAAGAAAAATGGTGGAAAGAATTGTCAAAGACAAAATAATGACGCATATAGAAGAACAAGCCTTGCTGAAGCAGAGCCAACATGGCTTCTGCAATGGCAAGTCCCGTCTTACTAATCTGTTATGGGTCTTTGTGAGAGATAGGAAGCATACAGATAATGTGTACATGGACTCTCAAAAAACTCTGGCTCCTGACCAAGCTTAACAGTCATGGAATAAAAGGAGAGGTCCTCTTGTGCATCAGGAATAAATGGCAGTTGTAGAAAGTGGAGGCCCCCTGGAATCAGTATTGGAACCTGTGCCTCTTTATTCGTTCATAAACAATTTAGAATTAGGAGTGAGCAGTGATGTGGCCATGTTTGCTGATAATACAAAATTGTTCAGGGATATTAAAACAAACTGAGTGAATGGGCAGAAAAATGACAATAGTAATTCAATGTAAACAAGTATAAAGTTTCGCATGTTGGTACAAAAGAAATCTTACACACACACACACACACACACACACGATCCTGAGGTCTGAGCTGGCAGCAAGTGACCAGGAAAGAGACCTTGAGATTATAATGAATAGCTCAATTAAAATGTTGACCTGGTGGGCAACAGCTGTGAAAACTGCAAATTCCATACTAGGGATCATTAGGAAAGGAATGGAAAATAAAACTGCCAATATCATACTGCCGTTATACAAATCTATGGTATGACCACATTTGGAATACTGTGTACAGTTCTGGTTGCTTCACTTCAAAAAGTGTATTCAAGAGTTAGAAAAGTTTCAGAAAACTGTGACCAAAAGGATCAAGGGGTTGGAAAAACTCCCCTATGAGGAAGTTGCAATATTTTGGACTTTTTAAATTATAGGAAAGGTGAGAAAGAGGTGACATGATAGAAATTTATAAAATTATGCATGGCATGGAGGAAATGGAAAAAAGGTTTTTCTCCCTCTTTCACAACACTAACACTAAACACATTACACTAAAACTTGTAGCCATCCAACACAAAAACTTGTAGCATTCCAATGAATGTTGGAAATTTTGGGACGGTTAAAAGAAAGTGCAATGCGTAGTTAAACTATGGAACTTACTTCCACAGTAAGCAGAGATGGCCACCAACTTGGATGGCTTTAAAGGGGGAGTAGACAAATTAATGGACAATACAGCTATCAGTGACTAGTAGTCATGATGACAATGGTCTGCCTCCACAGTCAGAGGCAGCCATGCTTCTGAATACCAGCTTCTGGAAACGACAGCAGAGGAAAGTGCTCTTGTGTTCAGGTCCTGTTTGCAGGCAGCCCATAAGCATATGGCTGGACTAGACACATCTCTGCCTTGATCCAACAGGGCTTTCCTTATATTCTCCAAGAGAATAGGTGGTTGTACTTTCATGCCCCTGGATCTGCATGACAGCTGCTCATCAGATAATCATGTTTGCATAGGAGTCTATGTGCATAAAGTCTAACACAAGTCTGCCCTACGTACCACAAAACTGAAATTTACAAGTTGCACATTTTAGGTTGTGGCTGTGTACACCAAAATGCAAACAAAACATCCAAAATTTGACTGCTGAGTGGGCTGGGGACAGAAAGGGTCCAATTCCCTTACTATAGACAAAACATTTAAAAATGCACATATTACATCAGAAGCCATACTGTCAGCTCCACTGCATGATCTCAGACATGCAGGTTTATAGAGTCTTGGCTGTGCCATTAGTAAACTGTGAGATATTAACATCAGTACTCATTTTACATAGATAAACTTATTTTCTATCAATGCAAGTACAGTAGTCAAATGCAAACAATTGAATAAGTGGAGTTATTCCTGCTTATGTGGAATTTGAAACCTTAACTCCACTTTGATCAGAGATCCTTATAAAATATTAAGGCTGTCAAGGAGGAGAAAAGTACAGAATAAAATCCTAATCCCTAGTACTAGTGTTCAAGTAAAGCCAAGTAGCCAAGGCAATTCCAGTTATAGTTGTTTCTAGCATTTACTGATAGCAGAATAAACAGTCCTCCTGCTGATGCTAGCGCTACAGGGAGGCAAGCAATTCTGAGCTGCCATTCCAATCTAGAAGACATGAAGATATCTATGTGCAAAACAATGAAATGAAAGCAAGATGACTAAATCCACATGGCAAAGCATGGAAAAATCCAGGAAAAGAAAGTGGGAAGTCAGGAGGGTTTACAGTAGCAGCAAGTGAAGATCAGAAGGGAAAGGAAAGGAAACTTTTGCAGAACTTAAGTGTGTCCTGGGAAGGGGAGTGACTGAGCAAGGATAAATATCATGCATCTTACTGAGGGTCCATTGCCTGTAAGATCTGAGAAATACCAAATTCAGGTCTAACACTTTAATATGCTAGAGTGGGGAAAACCTGTATACACAGCAGAATCCTCACTAGTCAGCTCTTAAGTATATATACCTTATGAATAAGTTAAATCAGATTCATTCCACATCTCTGGATCACATTCTGCATTGACAACACTTGCTTATCTTGAATCCCAAAGGAATCAGAATCTAGCATTTAAATCATAGGTTGTAAAGCCCAACTTTTGGTGAACAACCTGCAGGTGCTGAGGAGTATCTGTTTCAGGATCACTTACAGCTGTTATTCTATATCAGGGGTGGGGAAGCAGTGGCCTTCAGGCCAAATCAGCCCCAACATGGGACCAAATTTGGCCCACAAGGCACTTCCCCCCCAAAACCATGCCCACCTGCCCACACCTGATGTCAGGTGTCATGCAGGTAGAGATGTAGCAGCAATGGAACAATCTGGAGCCTTAATCTACACCCTCAGAGTACAGATAGAACAGAAACTGACAACAAGCACAGAAACTAATGGGAGCTGTTCAGAAATAATCAAATGTCACTTGAAATCCTACACAGAAAAATAATTTTAGGAGAAGGACAAAATATATAAATTAGGAAACTCAGAATTGGAAGAGAATATAGCTTTATTTGCTGCATCAGAAACCTAAGAGAATACTAAAAAGTCAACAGCATGTGATTATCCTCACATACAATTTTTTAAGAAATGGCATTAGTTAACTGAATAAATGAGAAAACTTAGAACAAAGTTTATCCCCAAAATCGAAGTAAAAATAATAAGATATGGCTATTGCTCTAATAGTGACTGACAGCATAAATCCTATGCATGTCAGTTCAGAAGCAAGTCTCGCTGAATTCAGTTAGACTTACTCCCATTTAGGCTTGTAAAATAGGCTAAATTACAAAAAGGTTGTCAGGGATGCAGCTAAGGTTGGAAATATTATAACAAGAGACTCCAAGAAATTTCTCAGGGGGTGGGGGAATCGTATCACAACAGGCACAAGTTTTCTAGAGACAATAAATGACTCCAGATGGGATGGTCAATCATGGAACTCATCAAAAAGAAAATTTATGTATTTAATCCCAAAAGGTGAATAGGATCTGGCAGAAGATGCAAACAATGAACACAATACAATCATGCTTAAATATAGTGAATATGAAAAAATGACCAGAAATTCCCTTAGTCATATTAAACTGTAAAATGGGGAATTAACATTAATATTATGGTTATTATTAGGTAAAAGTAAGCTAAAACATACATAGTTGGGAGAGCCAAATCACTTCAAGAAGCTTGGAAATTATTTTAAACTTCTTTAATAATAGCTACAACAGGTGAAAATAGGCACCAATAAATCTGAAAAGATGCAAGGGTAGTTAAATAGCAGTATCAAGAAAAGGTCCTTTGCACCAGTAGCCCCCCACTTGTTGAATTCAGTTTCTAGAGAGGTCTGCCTCACACCTCATCTGGTTGGTCCCCCCCCCCCGAAAGGCCTTATAATTTCCTCAGGCCTTTGTTCATTGTGTTTTGAATATTATTTAATTCAGTGAACTTTTATTCCACTGTTTTAAATTGTGAATTTATTTATTTGCTCTCTGTTTCAATTGACTGTTCTGATTTTATTGCTGTGTTTTTATTGTACTTTTATTGTAACGTGTATTTTTATGTTCAAAGCAGCGCAGATAGTTTTTGTTTTAGGGTGGCACATAAACAATGAAAATAATAAAGAATGCTATAAAAGTCAAGAATTTTTCTTTCAAAAATTGCAGGGCTTGCCTGAATTGAAACATAGTGAAGTGCTCTGACAAACCAAATGTACATAAAACAAGCCAGAAAAAAATGCTATTTTAAAAAAATATTAGTTTAAATAAGAGCAAGAGAATCGGGAAGCCAGCTTAGTTGCTATTATTATGATAGCTAAAAAGGAACCTTACTATCCATAGGGGACAGAGATCAGTGCATGGCTATTACTATCATCTTCTGATTTGGGGCTTCCCAGAGATATCTGGGATGGGGGGGCACTGCTGCAAGAATGATGGACTGGATGACTGTCTGATTTAGTTAGGAAGCTTTTTCTTTATAAGGCAAGGTACACATCTAGTATTAAAATGTGGGTGCTCCTCAGGCTATTCCCATAACAAAGATTAAACTCACTATGAAATAAAACTGGAAAGTCAAAATTGTCATTCACTAAATTTTTAAAAGGGGACGCGGGTGGCGCTGTGGGTAAAAGCCTCAGCGCCTAGGGCTTGCCGATCGAAAGGTGGGCGGTTCGAATCCCCGCGGCGGGGTGCGCTCCCGCTGCTCGGTCCCAGCGCCTGCCAACCTAGCAGTTCGAAAGCACCCCTGGGTGCAAGTAGATAAATAGGGACCGCTTACTGGCGGGAAGGTAAACAGCATTCCGTGTGCTGCGCTGGCTCGCCAGATGCAGCTTGTCACGCTGGCCACGTGACCCGGAAGTGTCTCCGGACAGCGCTGGCCCCCGGCCTCTTGAGTGAGATGGGCGCACAACCCCAGAGTCTGTCAAGACTGGCCCGTACGGGCAGGGGTACCTTTACCTTTACCTTTTAAATTTTTAAAAATGACCAAAAGATTACATTTTAGTCACTATTTAGTAAAAGCAACGCCTTGTTAGTGGTCAATTGTTAAGTGTACATGTTATTAGTAAAATACAATCTTTGAAACACTAAATTCAACAGATTCTTACCAGCTTACTGAAATGGTATTTACAGTAGCCACAATACTGTACGTTATCTGCACCATTTCCTTCTTCTTCACAAAGAAGTCCTGCAAACTGTGCACTGAGAAGAAGCAAAAGAGAGGAAGAAATCAGATACTGAAGATGGAAAATGTAACTGCTCAACAAATTATTTAGGAGAGGAATCCCAAAGTTGTCGGGGGGGGGGGATATTTGGTAGAGAGAATGCCACTGCCTAAGCTCTCCCAGCTTGGGCTGGTCAAGGTGGAAGTCAGGAGCTGGGAGGCAGAGGTTCCACTCGCCTCTTTTCAGCCTTCTAAATTTTTCCTCTGCCATTGACACTAATGGGAAGGGAAATAAATAATGAAAGGGGAAATAGTTTTTCTCCCTTTCTGTTGGCATGTCTGGACAACAATGGGGTCTGGGATCAAGTGGATGCAATGCCTTCCCCAATATGTCCCAGAAGGCCCTGTTTCTCTACCATCCTCAGAACACTGCTGGTAGTAGAATGACAGCAACAAAACTTATGCCACCATACTAGGGAGGCCTGTGCCCACAGACCTCCCTCTCCACAGCATCCTACAACCTCTCAGCCTCCCTCCCGGGACACACAGAACTGCTCCCTAAAACAGGTTCTTATTTAGATAAAAGATAATCTTTCGGCCAAGTGTGTAAACATGCACTTGAAAATCTAATCAGAAAAATGTCTTAAGGTTACTGCTGTTTGTGAGTAGGGAGGACATCAAGCCTTTTCTCTGCACCACCGCAGCACAAAGAGTTATAGAAATAATGGTTAAGTGAAATGTACTTACTGCAACCATGCTATAACAAGTGATTATTTAAAATGGAATCATGCCACTATGGAGCCACATCTACCAGGGCAATAAAACAATATAACTTGGAGAGAGGAAACCAGGAATGCACACAAGTGGGAATTGCTTACTTACCATGTTACATGGAAAGCTTGGCGGCATCCATGCTTGTTACAAGTCATGCAAGCGCCAGTGGCTGCTTTACTTTCTCTGCCTTGCTCATCACATATATAACATGTCTAGTGGGGAAAATAAGACAGTTGTAAGAACACTATTATCTTTAAACGGACTCAAACTCAGCAGCAAAAGTTAAGAGTAATACTCCTTTGTGCAACTACAGCAAATACAAAGCAAAGGCAAGACTGAACAGTGCTTCGGTTCTCAGACCTGCTAATTGAAGTCACACTCCAATATTCCAAAACAGACTGTATGTTATGTAGAATACTTTGTGTGATTAGCTGTTTCCAATGCTACCAAGATGCAGAGCTGTAGCTATGGGGGGGGGGGGGCTAACCAGGTTTTTTGCCCCAGGTGAAGCCTCCAGAGGGATGCCATTGAGGCTCCTAGTCTCTCTCTATGTGTGTACACAAATGTGCATAGGAGGGCATCAAACTAATTTTCTGACCAGGGTGAAATAAAGCATAGTTTAGTCCCTGCATTATGTATAGCATTGATAAATACAGGGCTGGCCCAAGACATTTTGCCTACGCCCCTGATGCCTGCCCCCTGCAGATCTGGTGCCCTACTCCCTCCCTCCCTCTGCTGTCACTGCTGCCCAACCCATCACCACAACTGTGGCTGTGGCTGCGCTGCCACCACAAGACCACAGCAATGGCGAGGACACAGTGGCAAGGGGAACTGCACTGGATCCACAGCATGGAATGTGCTGGCAGCAGTACAACAGTGGGGGCGAGGAGGGGGAGGGAAGAGAATCAGATCCACCCGAGGCAAATGGCTTCGCTTTGCCTCATGCACAGACCACCCTTGGGTGAATACAACCTACTTCTTTATCATATGGTATGTCTCCACATTAATACACTACCCTGGAGGTTGGTTCTGGCAAATAAAGCTCCTTGGTTATGAAGACTCAGAATGAGTTTACTGAGGCTTCATATCATGTTAATGGCAAGGAAAGGCATTATGGGAAAGTGTTCCTGCATGGTAATCAATGACTGACATCAGGCTTCAGATGCAGTAAATAACAGTACTGTACTAAGAAACCTGGAATAACTTTGCAACATGATAAGTGCCCTATAATTTACATTTCTTCAGATCATTGTATCATTAAGATTTTCTGATTATTTTAATTAAATTCGCTGTAGCAATGTGGAAGACCTCCAGTGGGGCCAGCAGCATACAGCACACATACCCAGATGCACAAACACAAAGGAGTTCTATTTAAAATATGCAAAGCTAACATTTTAATATTTTTCAATAAAACCTGTTGCTTTTGCAGGTCTAACAAAATACTTCTAAGACAACATTCTTGTGAAGTAAGATTATCTCAATTTTCCTTGGGCTGCTGGCATTAACTGTTTTGTATCAATGGCTAGCTACCCTGCAGAACTGAAACCCAGAAATGCATATCAGCAATCACAAAGCTATAATGGGGGCTGTTTCATGGCTGCCAGAGGATTTTCATAAAAATGCACTCTTCTAGGCAGATTCAGTAATTCCTTTACCAGCATGGAGATTCACAATAAACCTCATTTTCAAACAAGATTTCTAATATTCACAGGAAAATTGTTATATTCTTAAAATAATCTCAGTCTCACAGGATGCATAGCTGGGCATTCCTAGTACTTATTAAATACAGTACAATTCTAATCCAAACAAATATTTTAACTCTTGCAATGCCTCTAGCTCTTCAGCTGAAAACTCAACAAGCTTCATGTTTGGGGACAGCAAGGGTTGTCTGCTGAAAGGAGTTGGTGTCTTACTTGTGGTACTCCTGTACAGTCGTACCTTGGTTCTCAAATTTAATCTGTTCTGGAAGCCCATTCAACTCCCGAAACGGTTCAAAAACCAAGGCACCGCTTCCGATTGGCTGCAGGAAATTCCTGTAGCCAATCGGAAGCCACACTGGACATTCAGCTTCCCAAAAATGTATGCAAACCAGAACACTCACTTCTGGGTTTGCGACGACTGGGAGCCGATTTGTTCCACGACTAAGGCGTTCGACTACCAAGGTACAACTGCATTGACTGTAGGGTGAAACTTTCAATGGCTGCTTACAAATGTATTAATAGATTCTTTGAAAGCATTGTTCAAATACTGGGGCCCTTAGCAACATACAATCTCATTTAATCATCTCATTACAATTTCATGACATGAAATGTTTAATGTAACCAGTCACTTTCCACAAGATAATGAACTTTGATACTGGCTTATTAAAGTCTATCAAGTTATCTCAAAAACATCTGGAACTCTTATTCTAATCCATAACCAACTATTATTTGCTCCCTCTAATGACAGGCTCCTGTTCTACCTTACATCATATAATGCTCATATACTCATCTCTATCTTATTGGTAAACACAAATCCATCTAACAACTTTCTTCATGTAAGAGTCTGTATTCTACCCGACAAGTTTACTACAGAAATCTCATGAAGATATTTGCCCATATGTATCTGACATTCATCTTTGTTTTAGATGTGAAAGAGGGCACACAAGTCACACCACGTTTCTTCTCTACCGGCCCAGTGTTGAGCAGCCTAATGTTTTCAGCAATGATTAAGTATTCACCAATAAATGCCCACTAGCAAAGCCTGAAGCTGCACCAAAAACAAAAACAGGACTCTAAGGGTCCCTTCACACATTATCCAAGTTAGCAATATATACCTGTTAACTACAGAAATATCATATATCCATTTTGTAAACATACGTATATGACATAGGTATGGTTACAAAAGGGATGTGTGACATATCTGTAAATCTGCTACAGAGCATACACATGGAGAAAAAGTGAGTCTCTCACACATTAAGGGGAACAACACAGTTGCATATAAATATATATAAGCATATCCTTTCCAAATTTACATACAATATGAATCAGTTTTATAAAATGCCCTTAAAATATACATATTAATGGATCTACTCTGAGTAGGCCTTAGTCAAACACACAGACAACTGTTTTTCAAATATCAGTTCACATTGCAAAATGGTTTTCTACAAATATGATAAAATCATGTGTCTTTATGATCTCTTGATCAACTGCATCAACCCAATTCAGAGATGTGTAGTAGACTAAACATGCCCGACTAGATCTTATTGATCACATGTTCTGCTTTTACAACATCAAGTTCCAGTGCCAACTACCTGAACATTACAGCCACACACAGAGCAACTAATTCTTCTATTGAAGAATCACTGTCACTGGATTAGGGTGAACATGTTATAAAACACCAGCTACATGTTGGGCAAATTGTGAGGAGCAAGGACTTTAGGATTTTTGAAACAACAACAACATGGTTTTAATGTATTTCATGACTAAAACACACTTACAGCAAAGATATGATATGCAGACAGAATGTACCACAATATTTTTTTATGAATGAGAATGAAAAAAATGTAATGAAATGTAGTCACTGACAGCATAACAAAAACTGAAAAAATAAATGGTGGTGAATTGTTGAGAAACCACAGAAACAAAACTATGTCTAGAAAAGATAGTAAAAGTCTGAAAATGCAAGTTAACTAGCACTAACTCAACTAAACTGGCTTTTCTATGTATAACAAACTCTTGATATCGAACTAATTTTGAAACCCCTTTCAGTTTCAAAAACGTTTTTCCGTACAGCCTGTAGTTCTGCCATTCAAGAAATATAAAGCTGAATTGCATCCCTAATGCCCAGTTTATGAAACTAGTATCATAAATTAGTTCTTTAAACTGGGCCTATGTGGGATGACATTTTCTGTAGCCTTAATTGTAGCTTTGTAATACTGTGCTTAGGGACGCAGGTGGCGCTGTGGGTAAAACCTCAGTGCCTAGGGCTTGCCGATCGTATGGTCGGCGGTTCGAATCCCTGCAGCGGGGTGAGCTCCCATCTTTCGGTCCCAGCTCCTGCCCACCTAGCAGTTCGAAAGCACCCCTAGTGCAAGTAGATATATAGGTACCGCTTTATAGCGGGAAGGTAAACGGCGTTTCCGTGTGCTGCGCTGGTGCCGGCTCGCCAGAGCAGCTTCTTCACGCTGGCCATGTGACCCGGAAGTGTCTCCGGACAGCGCTGGCCCCTGGCCTCTTAAGTGAGATGGGCGCACAACCCTAGAGTCTGTCACGACTGACCCGTACGGGCAGGGGTACCTTTACCTTTAATACTGTGCTTGACATCTGACAAAGTTAAAAATAACTATAAGTTAAGTTAAAAAATAAAATTAGACAAAACAGCAGATCGGGTTAACTGGTGAATGGTAACAGAGGGAACAGGACTCAGATTTCTGGAAGTCCTCCCCATACTGTGCATCTAACAACGTCCCTACTCCATCTATCTGTCCCAAACCCCATACATTGGTCCTCCAATTGAAAATGGGAGGCTGGATAAAGAGTTAGAGTACATACAGATGACTATGGCACATCTTCAATGAACACTGTATTAATCCCCAGCCAACGTTCAAGAAAACACATGGCAGGGATCACGCTGGCTTATTCTGCCACCCTTCCCCCCTGCTCCAAAATCTCAATGATATTGCATGCTGGGTATCATATATATATCCATTTTTAAGCTGTACGTAGGTTACCCAAAACGTATATACTGCTTGACTGTAATGAAACCTCTAAGCGGTTTACACACGAGGACCTGAATCCCATAATCAGTACACTCTGGTTTTGTCTACTGGGCTCTATGCACGTACAACTCCAATAATACAGGTGTCCCCCCCACTTACATATGATTGACTGCTGTGTAACCTCATATACACGCAGTACCAGAAAATAATTAAATAATTCAATTCACCTGGAAATGGCAAGAGAGAGTTGGAGTGTCCTCATGGCTCGCAAGGAGAACCTCCCAGGAGCATGAAAAGGACGTCAGTGAGGGCGGAGGAGACCCTGAAAAGGCGTAGTGGGGCTTTGTTTACACTGCTCAGCCTCCCCACCTAACAGCTGCATGTGCAGGGTAGCACAGCAGCAGCTGCTACTTTCGTGAAAGTCCTCCAGCCTCCTGCCAGCCCCAGAACTTCAATTATAGCTGTAGATATTTTTGGATACAGTAATTTTGGTATGGATTGAAGAGAGAGCTACAGAAAGGGCATTTAAAGGGGTTTTTTAGAGGGTGCTCCCTTCTTTAGCCAATTTCAATTATGTGTGCAGGGGACCAGAATGTAACCTCCGCATAAGTGGGGAGTCGCCTGTACTTAACTTGAGAGTCAGCATAATCTAAATCTCACAACGCACGTTCCAACTGAATTTCTACACTGGTCTATTATGTGTAAAGAACATGAGTGGGTGGGGAGCTCCTGCTGATATTTCATTCACTTTCTCAATGGCAAAACAATGTTTAACTACAGATGCTTCCCTAAAGCAAGAGAACGAGAACTGTGAACATTGTGCTATAAGAAGAAAGGGAGAGAACAACAACAACAACAGTTGAAAAATTCAATTCTACTCTCAATTAGCTTTTAATAAGAACCGTATCAAGGAACTGATCAACAGTAATCTGCTGCTAAATATAGTGATTACTAATAAAACAGGAAATGTCTTAAACCTATTTGATCAGTTGGTGATGAAAAACATTAGATATCTAAGTAGATATTACCTCATGCTATAAACTTCAGTAAGACATAAATAATTTTACTCATTTTCTTTCATACAAAATGTTCTTTAAAGAAATACAAGCCCTTCAAAGCAAAATATGCTTGTTTGTTTTTAATGAGATGTGAAATATATAGCATATTTTTCAAATACGAAATTATATCAAGAAAATAAGTCATAGTAGAATTATACCTTATTATAGCGATCATGAGGAACAGACTGCAACACGATAGGTTCCATTGTAGAAACATTTGCAAATTGCACCTCGGGAATGTACAGAGCACAAACCACATGAGCCCAACCTATAAAAAGTTAATTACATTTTATTCTTAATGCCTTCTGACAATACAAATAGAATAATTTCAACTATAAAAAAGAACATTTCATATGTTATATGTATTTTCAATTATTTAAGCACAATGTAAGTATCTAACACATTCCTTAGCACATCACAGCATATAAAGATAAGATTACATATTTTCAAAGAGCTGTAAACAACTAATATAAATAATGATTTTGCAAAAGTAGAAACAAAACACTTTTCGATTGTACCTAGTTCTTAATTCACATTGAAATTAACGGGCCTATATGCCTGAAATTGGGAAGAAAATATGCAGATAATTAAACTATAATGGTTTCTCTTCACACCTTTCCATAAGAAAGAATGAATTTTTTGCTTTTTTTCTTGTTGCTTACATCTAAGACCTGACACTATTACTTTTATATCTTCCTGTGTGGTATCCTAGAATGGTATTTCAGCATAAAGCAGCATATATTTTTAGCTTTCTTTCAGTAGCTTTTGATAGTATTTCATAGAGTAGGGTATTTTTTTCTGACAGTTTTTTCTTTTCAATTTCCAAGGATTCTTGACCCAGATAAGAGCCTGCCTAATTTCAGGTTCTCTGTGGTTCCCAAGAGAGTCACCAATTTGTGCTTGCCAAAGAAAACAATTTAACCATGTCTGCTACTGTTTCATTGCATAAATAGCTCAGCTTGAAAATTACTTTGCTATTCAAGAGCTGCCCATATTCTGTCCTGGATTACTTTATACAGAGAATTCCCAGACAGTTTGATACACCAATTTCCCAATATGAAAAGCAGCAGAATAGCAGGAATGTTCAAAACGTAATTGCAGCCTTCCACAAGAAATTAGGTCCCAATCTTCACACACACTCTATATCTGTGTTAACGTCCAAACATGAAGAAGGAAAAAATATCACAGGGGTACACCAAGTACCTGTTAGAAATATCACATATACAACTTATCTAATCTTCATACAATGTTATAAGGCTCAGCTCTACCTATTTCATGTATACTCAGTTGCTTCAAACCATGCATGAGGTAGTAGATCATGTTTTACATGGCAATGCTGCGAACAGCAAATATTACGTAAAGCTGAAACAGGTTTGCAAACATTTGGGGCCACGAACGGAGAAATATTTGATTGTCTGCAGCTCTCTGGAACCTGCTCCAGAACTATTTATAAATATCCGCAAAACAGAAATGAATTGTGGTGTTTACAGCATACATACTACGCGCTGGTATATATGCAACAAACACCCCTTGCCAAAAGTCTGAATCAACCTATTCCGGCATGCAAAAATGTTATGACACACACACCAAATTCCGCAAGAGAGACTGTGTGCACAAGGGACAAGGATAATATACTCTCAAGGTCAAACTAGACACGTGACTGCCCCTCGTTTACTTTGTTGTCTTTCAAAATCTTTACACCCAATGGCAGCTTTCCTCTGAAGGCAAATGGTAACCACTGGGCAAGTCCTACCTGTATTGGAACCGTGACAGGAGCAATGAATTAAATCCCCACACACACTTATCCCCACATCAAAGTGCCAATCAGGTCTCCCTCAGCAATATGTAACACAGGAAAACCAAACACACAAGTGCCAATCACGTGTACAACATTTAGTGCTGTTTTCCCCCCACCCCGAAGCCCTTTTCCCTCTCCAAAAATGGGAAATTTGAAAGATGTTGGGCTATGTCATGTGACAGGGTAGATAAATTTGCTTCTATCCAGGCAAACCTTTGATATTTAGAAGTCCATAATAAATATGATGACAAATATGAAGAAGCATAAATGGATTGAGATAGCTCAGAAAATGAGATTGATTAAATTTCATGAAGTATTCATTGAGTCTTGGCTCTGCCTTCTCTCTGCCCCCTCCCCATCCCCCTCACAGCTCTTTTTATGGCAATGAGTGCATTACGTCTGCTTGGCACTATGGAGAACAGAAGGAGACAGAGTGGTATTCAATGCTAGTCCTACTTATTTTTACTATAATCATAATGGTTTCTCCTGTTTTTATTGTGTTTTTTTCCATTCTCATAAACTGACAAAATGAAAGGGATGCTAGACTCCTTACAGTTCAGCAGCTTGGAGCTCCCCTTGTAAAAAGAAATAAAATGAAATGAATTAAAAATGTAAATTCAATTTGTAATGGACCAAATAAATTGTATTTTAATATACCAAACATGATAATCTAATGGCAAACCATATTATACAAAATATATGTTATGTTCCTAAAGCAACAAAGTGACATTTGATCTGTAAAAGCGGCTTTAAAAAATTTTTTTTCAGTTGTCCACAAATTTCCACACCCCTAAAAAAAACAACAGGAAAAAATATTCTCCTGTGGGTTCAGAATTTCCAAAAAAATTATATCTCTAGTAAGAGTTGCATCTACTGCTCCACCCAGTATTCCCTCTTGCCCCACCCAGTACTGGAATGCAACATCCAGAAGGTTTTCCATAAGATAATGTGACCTGACCCTCAGGCTGAAAAAGTCTCCACACTCTTGAGATACAGCCTTAAATGATAAATGTATTCTGGTTGGTGTGCTGTTATTGGAGGAGGAAAAAACAGCCCAGGATTGATACACAAAGTTACACTGAAATACCACTCTAGCTTTAGTTATTTCTGTTGCTATCTACTGGAAACAATGTCTTTGTGCTTCTAACAACCAAAAAACTGCTAGGAAATTAATTTTGCTGTATTTCAAGTAGCTAGCTGCCCACAAGACGTTATGGCAAACTGAAACACTGATTTATGTAGAGCAGATTATACTAAAGTGGAAGTTAGGGCTATAGCTTTCTTTGGGGTCCCAGAAAGCCACTGGTGTTCATTTTTCAGTTCCCCTTTCCACAGGAACTCATAACCTTTTATAACAGACGTTGGAACTAATGCATCCCATCTGCTTTCTGCCACTAGAAATAACGTGTTCTTCTGTTCAGGGTCCTAGAAAGTGACCTGCTGCGTTCCTGGCTAATATTGTTTATGCACACTGCTCCATTCAAACAGCTTTTTTTCATGAGCTAATCATTTTTCAGATTTCCTTTCTTCCAAACCCTTAGATACAAACCCCATGACATAACACTTGCATTTCAGGGAATGTTGAAAGCAGCTGGGATCTCTTTGGAGGCAGAAATGTCCTTTTAACTGAGCAAGATAAGAATATTACTTCCTACCCCCCTCAAAATTTTAGCACATTTGCACCAGATAAGAATTATCCAATATTCTTATGTGTTAAAAAACCTTGCGTTCTGAATAGGCAACAGCATTAAGTTCTAACACTACTATGCACTTACAGTGGGCAGTTGCATCCTCAGAATACATATGTTACTTGAGGAACTCACTAAATATGGTGAGAATCTGCATTACACTGAAGCTCAGTGTATCTGATTGAAGACCATAATCCAGTCATCTTGCAAACAGAACTATATCCCTCACTAAGATAACAGCAGACAATTCTGAACAGTTCATTTAACAAGGGCTTTCCAAGTGTTATATGCTAGGATAATTTACAACTTAAATGATGCCATAAGTATGGAAGTCACATTGGGTGACATCCTGATAGCTAGTAAGGCCTGAAGGCCTGCCTTTCCATCTTCAAGGTGGAAGGATAATAGCTGGGGCTGAGAAGAGCCCTTCCTTGCACAGCTGGTGCACCTCTGCAGGAAGTGTTCACAGAACCTCCACCAAGAGCCACCAAGAATGTCTTGGCCACCTAGAAATAACCAAAGTAGCATCTAATCGTTCTAACTGTCATAGGGATTACAGAAAACAAACGGACTAAGAATACATTTGAAAGGCATCGTCTACTTTTTCATCATTCATGTCTGCACCCACATTTGGTCCCTAGTTTGCTTCTTCAGCAGACATGCAAGTCAACAACTGGAACCCAAACATAACTGATCAGAAGGAACCTCCAGAGTTAGAGATCGTTCCAACTGGTCTATTTGCTGCCTGCTCAACTACCATCCAAGCATTGTAGATGCCTCTCAGACACCTGGCTGTTGGAGGAGTCCTGCTTCACTCAACAGAAGGAATTCAAGGACTTTCCATAGGTAGGACACAGGTTCCAATAAGCTTTTTCACATGTGCGAAAATCCCATTCGCATCCAGAGGTACCACTGTATTTGTTGATTTGGAAAGACACATTTGTTCTGTCCAACATGAGAGCAAAGGTTCTGAGAGTCAGACAGACCACTCAGAACTTTAGGAAGCTGATGCTACAAGATGTCTTACGGTGTGACCACAGCTCTTAGATGAAGAATTATTTGAAGTGAGCTTCCCACATAGGTAGGCTGGCAATGGTTACATCTGAATATACTATGAGTAAGTCTTTGATATGTACACCTTTCCACCATAGTCCACTGGGATATTGACTTTTGAGTTCCTGGGTATTCAGATATGTGGGTTCAGTCTTGATGCAATTTGATCTTGAAGATGAGCAGGAATGTCTGAAGAGCTCAGACATGTAGATAGGCCCAAGAAAGTCAGCTGAAATGAAAACCCATAATTTCCAACAGCCTGGCTAAGAGTTACCGTATTTTTCGCTCTATAACACGCACCTGACCATAACACGCACATCGTTTTTAGAGGAGGAAAACAAGGGAAAAAATTCTGAATGAAACAGTGGATGTATCATTTTTGTGCTTCATGTTGTGGCCACAGACATGTGATCTGATGGTGAATTTGGGGTAGCTCAATGCAAAGATCCTGAGGATCCATGTGGATCCATGCTTTTTAACCACGTTTTTGCACCATTGCAGCCCCAGGCAACAGTGGGTGTGTGATTTTTGGGGGGCAGGCTGCTATGTGATCTGATGGTGAATTTGGGGTGGCCCAATGCAAAGATCCTGAGGATCCATGTGGATCCATGCTTTGTAACTACATTTTAAGTGGGGAGTGAAGGAAAAACACAGAAGGGACAAGAGAGCGGTGTGCAGAGAAGCAGCTGGCTAAGAAAGCAGGAGAGGGATTTAACGGGAGGTAGGAAA